CGCCCCGAGACCGCGTAAAAGGAGTTCATTGGATATTCTTCAATTAATTACGTTAGCGTATATATATATATATACGTACATAACCTCTATTCCAAGAGGTAACATCGTGTACCGCCAATTTACATGCCAACAATGTTGGCCGATTTCCCTGTTTAAGTACCCCTCAATTATATCGATTTCCACCGAGTAAAATGCGATAAATAATATTCGTGCGAGGCGATTAAGCGCATTGTACACCAGTCGAACGTCCATTTTACGCGAGGCCGCTTAAAAGGGCATACAAGCTTCCGTGTGCTCGCCTCTTTCCGAAGTTTAACCATAATGCGTGCTCTTAAACGCGCAAGCGCGTGCATCGGACAGATAAAACGAACCAAGTGGAAGTGAGATAGAGGGAGAACGCGAGGCGGAAGGTGGTAGAACAGGGAGAGGGGGGGACCGGAAGTGGGAGCAATTAACGATATAAGTGGTTCGCTGGTCTCGAAACCAGATAAGATCGGCTAACTCGAGTCTAGCTCCTTTTCTCGAGACCGTTCGATGGGAAGATAGTAAACTCGAAAGAGGCAGGTGCCTTTTGGACACATTATACGCTGTTACCTCGATCCACCTTTTTCTTTTTTTTTTCCCCCCTCTCTCTTTCTCTCTCTTTCTCTCTCTTCTCTTTCTCCTTCCAACCCTTCGTATTTTTGTATTTTTCTTTCTTTCTTTTTTTTTTTTTTTTTTTTTTTTTTTTTTTGTCTTTTTACCTTGTTCCTCGCGTAATACAAGAAGATGGAACTCTGTTTCGATCCGCGACGTCGCGAAAATAACTTTATTTACCGCTATCCGCGATAATCGATCGCCTCGACCGGTTATTTGCATTTTATTAAATGCCCACCGGTTAATTGCTCTCTTCTCGCTTCTCTCTTACCTTGTGTTCCAAGGGACGCGTTATTAATATTAAGTAGGCGTCGATTCTTGGTAAAACGATGTACATTGTATTTCTAAGATAGTGGGACCGATAATCGATTGATCTTGGCCCGACGCCGGTCCTTAATTCTTTATTTCTTTATTTCGCTCAATTTAATGACGGGATAAACTGTAATTTCAGTTGAACAGCAACACCGGTTTCAATGTGGAAAAAAGTATGTATTTTAAATTGGGATTTCGATAAGCGTCATGCACACGCAATTAACGTATGTATCAGACTCATTTATACGTTATAATAGATTACAATATTTTTTTTTTTTTTCTTTCTTATAATCAATTTCCATATGTTGCATTCGTGCTAGATATATTTGAAGATTGTCCGTTCGATGTTCTAATAAAAATATTCATGAAATTTCACTATATATATATATATTTCCTTAAATTATTTACACACAAGACTTTAAAAGTTAATCTACTTGTTCTTTAATTAATCGAAAGAACTGTTTATAAATACTCATGATCTAACAAATATGTATACTGCTAATAATCCTCTTTCTCATTTACATAATTCCTAAGGATTGTACGTAAATGAGAGAAAAAAAAGTCCAAGTTTATAAAGTTAATTATTTTATATATGTGCTTTGTGCCCGCATTATAAGCTAATAATAAAATATAATTAAATTTTCTTTCATACGTGCTTAACGATGATGTATGTCTTTTACATTGTCTCGCTGCATTAGTCTTGGCTAATCGCAATATAGCAACAAATATTATTTTGTAATATTCTATATTATTTCTTCACCCTCTTTGCATCTTTGAATATTTAAAATATTCTCCACAAAAAAATCTGCACTATATCTATCAATAAATAACGATCGAATCGATCGGTGTGCGATCTTTTACCTACAGATCGTGCCTCGTTTCGATCGAGAAGTCAGGGCAAAAGCGGACAGGATGCGGGGGCAGAGTATACTCGCGTACTTTTGTTCCGGTGATTCTCTTTTGTCGCCCGTTTCAGGATGCAGAAGCCCGGCAAAAGCTCGATTTGACCGTGGGTTAACCACATCCTCTCTCGCCAGTCCCTTCTTCCTCCTCCTCCTCCTCTTCTTCTTCTTCTTCTTCTTCTTCTTCTTCTTCTTCTTCGGTTTCCATTGGGGCGGTGTACCTTCGGGAAACCAACTACCGCGCGAAAAAATGAAACTGTGATTTCCTACCAGCTTTCAGCTAATAAGCGCATCCGTTCTCGGCCACGGTCTGCAATTATGCAAACCGCGCGCGCACTGGTTTCTTAAAACATTTTACGAGGCACACGTTCGGTGCGCGATATTTAACAACGTTGCATTCGTGCCCTGTCCCACGGAAGTGACGCTCGTTCCACCGACACGAACCTTCTTCTATAGAAAGTATTATAAAAAAGGGAAAAGAAAGAAAGAAAGAAAGAAATAAAGAAAAAAGAGAAGAAAAGAAAAGGAAAGGAAGAATAAATATTTTGCTTTTCCTCGTATGCATCCTTTCACCGATGGATCGGTTAACGCTCTATCTAATGGCTGAATCTTTGCCTCCTTCGACGCGACTTCCTGTTTATCAAATATAAATAAGAAAGTAAGCAGATGATTGATATTGATTATTTCAATTTCGATGGAAGATAAATGTAATCAATGAACCTTTCATTACGATAATTTCCTCGTTTTCATCGCATCGTTTTCGTATCGAGATTGCACTCTTTCTAAATTTTGTCTCTTCCATCTTCGTGTAACTGTCGTGTAACTGTGAAATTAAAAATTATTCGAATTTCGACGAGAAATAATTGCTTTCACCGAGGAGTGGATAATTTTCTAAATTTATCATCCTTCGCATCGGTGGGAAGAAAAATATTGTAAAAGAATTAAAAAAAAAAAAAAAAAAAAAAAAAGTGAACATCTCACTTTCCTTATCAAGATTACTGCATCCTTTCACCGAAAGAATGTATTTAAGATTTATTAAGATTCCTCGTTGCAAAATCATCGTAAGAAGTTTAAAAGATAATTTCTCTGAAGGGAAATTTCAAACATGATAATATAAATATAATTTTTTAAAATTAAAAATTCAATTCCAATGCAACGAAATATCTCAAATATCTCGAATAATTTCCCGCTTCAACATCATAATTACAATTACACGAGTACAAAACTTGAAAGGAGTTACTTACGAGTTTTTCTCTTTTATGTATCGAATATGAACGAGGGGGAGAGACGTTGAGAAAAATCGTCGGGCCACCGCTAATGGGGTCGAAATTAATTTCACGTAATTGAGGATACACGAGGAGAACGAGCGTCCTCCTCCTCCTCCTCCTCCTCCTCCTCCTCCCGCCGCTACCCGTTTTACCCTAATAGGAATAAAATAAGCCCTTGTGCAGCAGTTAGCGCTCGAGCCTCGCTCCTACATAATTGCAGCGTCGGCTGACCAACACCGGAAATAAGCAAACGCGATTAAAGCCTCGGCCACGCTGTCACGCTTCCCGGGTTTCGCCTTCGACGGCTCGTAAGGCCCTGGCAAATTACACACCGGGCCCCGAAAACACGGCAACGGAGACGGAGACGGTCACCCCTTCCCTCTCCTATAATAATAATAATAATAATAATAATAATAATAATAATAATAATAATAATAATAATAATTGTTTTACGCTCTTGCGATTCCTTCGCGCGGATCGGGAACAAAATTTCGATAATTCGTATTGTTTGATTTGTTTGGGAAAAGTTATTAACAATAATGTGTATTTTGGATAATGTTATTTATTAATTTTAGTTAATTTATTGGATAAGTTTAGGGATTAATCGTCAGTGCAGGGATAAATATCTTGCCTCTTGTTATTAAAGTTATATAACTGTTTCGATATTTAAATAAAATTTCCATTTCTCTACGTCACGTTCAATTAAAAATTTGCATAAAAATTCGCAGTCTGTTTATCATAAACTAAACTGTCGAATAGGGGAGGTCAATATGCTCACTGCGTTTTAATCTGGATTAGTGCATATCTACTGTGTACTCATTTTTAGAATATTCGTATATATCCATTTGAATCGAGATGAAAAATTGTGAAAAATAATTGATAAATATAAAGTTTTGTTGTATATCTATATCGATACTCGAATAAAACTCGAAGTTAATAAATATTTTTCATCATCGTTAATGTATCTAAAGATCGTTCGATTATTAAAGGGAAATAAGAAATTCGCGATAATAAAAAATTAACAATGTTCTGAATAATTCGAAAAATTGAAACAAATCTTAAGATAATTCTATTTCTTTTCTCGCAGACTTATTGGTAAATAATTCGAAACAGCTTACGTTATTCAACTATCACGATTAGTGTAGTGTTTTTTTTTGGATCGTTTGCTTGCAAAACGCGATCAAACGGTTTAACATAAGTGCGCGTATGCAAATGGGAATGCAAATGAGCAAACAGTACACGATCTCTGTGTGTTCAGGCATTAACCCGATCGCGAGTCTCTTGAAATATGCATCGTCGCGTGAAAAACATTGGAAAGAAGGGCTCGAAGGGCCCTCGTCGTTCAAAGGTCAATTCAGTGGCCAGGGGAAAAGGATCGATAGCTAAGCGACCAAGGAGGCTTGCCTTTTAATAGTTGCAAATTTTTTTCCCCTCCGAGGAAACACAGCGAAGAAAACACGCCTCTTCTTCCTTTCATTTTCACCTAACGACCGAGTTGTAGTAACTTTAATCTACGATCTGCTTCCGGCTCGTCGTTAATTTCGCGAATTAAGAAAAAGAAGAAGAAGAAAGTGTTAATTCGAGAATTCGATTAAGCTTTGCACCCCGCCATCTTTGGATTATAATGGTAATAAAAATAACGACGATTTTTCGACGAATCTCGAATGCTTGCAAGCGCTTTTTCCCTTCATATCGAAATAATGTAATAATAATAATAATAATAATGCTCGCTCGTATAATGATAAATATCTGATATAACGAACGTGCCACCAGAAAGAGAAAGAAGGGGATAATTCGTTAAGATAGAAAATAAAGAGATAGAAGAAAAAGAAAAGAAAAGTAGAATGAGAGAGACTGAGCGTTAAATTTAGTATAATATATTTTCCATATAATAATTCTCGCTATACAGACATTATTTTACAAAGCATGATTTTTATTACTATGTATACTTCTTGCTGCATTACTTAACGTTAAGTCGCACGATACCGTGAGACCCACTGATTCTGATGCGTCCCGACGGTTTTTACACAACAACGCCGTCATTCCTCTAACGCGTGTCCCTTTACATGTCGTTACACCTTTATTCTTTTCGTCGTTACAGCCTAATTTTATGTATTCGTAATACTGGTATTTCATCATTTCGGTGAACAACGCGGCAATCGCGCGTGGAGCGTCGAACTTTGGAATATTCTGTCGAATTTGGACATATTCCAAGTCGAATTCGACTAATTGAATTATTAATTTTTAAAAACTCTATCTATCTAAAAGTTCGACGATTCAAACACGCGTTGCGACGCGTTTGTCCATTCTACGTATATTGAAATCTGAAAAATACTTCTGGAATATCTTGTTATCACGGTTGGCTTCCATTTAACGGGATATCGACCAACCTGTTCAACCTTACTGATACACCATCTCATCCCATCAAACGTTAGCTATTTACAACATTTGTCTGCCGAAATGGAATGGAAATCGACGCCGCGCGAATCGAATCCTATAATTCTATTTACAATTCTATAATGCTCCCTCCGAATGCAACGTTCGAAATTTTTCCGCCAATTTTTCCAACAGCCAAACAACTCTTCTCTTTTGTTTAAAAGTTTCACGAGCATTGCATTCGGATCAACCCCCTCTCGAATTTTACTCGCGATAGAGATAATAATTCGCATCCGTACGAGATCTTTGAGGCAAGGATCGAGGCAAGATCGCGACCGATATTCCCCAAATGGGGGAGAATAACGGAGAAAAATACTAGTCTCGAGAACTACGCTTCACTCTTTTCGACCGCGTGTAATTTCGTGTCATTTCGTATCCCTTCCCCCCTCCCTTTCCCCAGGCAAAGGTCCCCTCTCTAATGTCGTATTAATCGCAGATTCGTGCGCGATCGCCTCGTTCCCTGGCGCGACTCCTTCTCGATTCTCGAGGTCTGCCCTCGTCTTCATCCTTCCCTCCCTTTTTTCACCGGACGAACGAGTTTTCTTTTTTTTTTTTTTTTTTATTTACACCGCGAAAAAAACGTTCAGAAAACGTTTCTTTTTTTCTTTTTCTTTTTTTTTTTTTTTTTCATTTGTTAACCTCGCTCGCGTCGTTCAACGACGCTCGATCCACTCGTCGATCGTTTCCTTTTGGCGTTTTTACGTTACGTCGCGTACAAACAGATGCATCCACACGCACACACGCACACACGCACACGCGATAAATCCGTCGAGTCGTCGTCGATCAAGCGTCGATCCGCGTTCGATCCCTTTCGATCTCTACGATCGGTATATGACGATTATTAGGAGTATGAATACTGGTCTCAGCGTAACGTTCGGCTCGCTAAATCGTTCGAATCGCGAAACTTTGGTTAACCACATAACGCTTCCTCTTCGCCCATTCTCATTATCTAGGAAATCCCGGACGTCCCGTGCAATGTCACTTCCTCTGCTCCACCTCACGAAATCGACCGTTCTTTTTTTTTCTTTTTTTCTTTTCTTTTTCTTTTTTTCTCTTCTTTTCTTTCGCGCAATACTTGTCGTTGGCGTGGAATTTCGCGAGCTTTCGCGCGCGAAAGTTTTTTTTCTTTCAACGATCGACGACGAGAAATAATATTCTTTCTTTTTTTTTTTTTTTTGTTCTTTTTCGTTTTTTGTTTTTTTTGTTTTTTTTCTTCCATTACATTCATCTGTTGGCGGTTACGCAAGTAAGTTGGGTTAGTTAGAACGGAGTATAATTGCTACAAAAAAATCACCGCGCGCGTCTTCTTTATAAAGACTATATCTTCTCGTCGATTGGCTGCCTCTAACAACATAATAGAAACACTCGAACATTTTTTTTCTCGAGATATCGCACGCACGCACGCACACAACTTTCCACAACTTTTTGAAAAAGAAAGGAAAAAAAAAAAAAAAAAAAAANAAGGAAAGGATCTCCAGAGCGAGTTTTTCCACTTTCTTCCTCTCGGATCGATCGTACCCTCTCCTCTCAACGACAACCCTTCATCTTCCATCCTCCTCGTTCATTATCCTAGATATCGTGTATACTCTCGTCGTCACTGTCCGCCCTTATACTCTGAGGGCTGTCCTCCCTCTTCGGCGAACGGCTCGCGCTCCTCTCCCTCTGCCTCGCTCCTCTCCCCAAATGTTCCCTCTCCCTTCCCTCGATCATGTCCGGACTGTCCCTGTAATAACCGGCCAAATTCTGCATCCCGGAACCTGTCAACGATGCCACGCTGGTGTTGCTCGGTCCCGGCTGGAGCATCGGGGACGGGTACAACCTCTCGTCCTTGCACATCGGGGACCTTTCCCTCAACCCGGCAGGACTCTTGCTCCTGTCCCTCTGCCTCGACCCCCTGCCCATCCCCTCCCGCCCGTCCTCCGGGCTGTCCCTGTAATACGTGCTCAGGTTGGACAGGCTGGAGCTCGCTGTCAAGGTACCTCCAAGGGTGGCCGTGTTGCTCGACCCGGCTTGCACCATCGTGGCCGCGTAAAGCCTCTCCTCCTTCATCAGCGGGGACCTGTCGCTCAACACGGGGCTCTTGCTTCTGTCCCTCTGCTGCCTACCCTCCCTCTCCCTCCCTCCCTCGCCCATCTCCGGGCTGTCCCTGTAGTAGTTGCTCAGGTTGGACAGGCTGGAGCTCGCGGTCAAAGATCCGAGGGGGTTGCTCGGCCCGGCCAGGATCATGGTGGGTGGGTACAATCTGTACGGAAGTGGCTTCTGCAAGGTGACGGCCGCCGCTGACGCTTGCTGGTAAAAGAGGCCGTTCGCGGGCAGTGCGTGGGCGCTCGGGTAAGGCCAGTATCGTCCGGCAGCGGGATGCGCCGGGACAGCCGCTGCCCCGCTTCCGTACAACTGTTGGAATGCAGCCACCGCGAAATTGTTCTCCGCCATTATCTCGAAGCCGACGATCGTTTGCCTCTTCCACTTCGTTCTGCGAACAGAATGGAGGGGGGGGAGGGGTTAATTTTTAACGCGATTTATTTATTTTTTTTTTTTCTTTTTTTCCTGTTATATTTAGGGAGAGAGAGATTTTTATATCTCATTATGTCGTTTGGAAATTTGACAGTGAATGTTTTGTTTCATTGAGAATTATTTTGGAGAAAATCTTGTGATATCGTTCGAAAGTTTGGAAATTTGAATCGTTTATTTCATTGAGAATTATTTTGGAGAAAATTTTTCCAGTTTACTGAGTATGGAGGGGTTAATTTTTAAGGCGATTTATTTATTTTTTTTTCTGTTATATTTAGGGAGAAAGATATTTTATATCTTATTATGTCGTTCCAAAGTTTGGAAATTTGAATGTTTTATTTCATTGAGAATTATTTTGGAGAAAATTTTTCCAGTTTACTGAGTATGGAGGGGTTAGTTTTTAAGGCGATTTATTCATTTTTCTTTTTTTCTGTTATATTTAGGGAGAGAGAGATTTTATATCTTATTATGTCTTTTGGAAATTTGATAGTGAATGTTTTATTTCATTGAGAATTATTTTGGAGAAAATTTTTCCAGTTTATTGAGTATGTAGGGGTTAATTTTTAAGGCGATTTATTTATTTTTTTTTCTGTTATATTTAGGGAGAAAGAGATTTTATATCTTATGATGTCGTTCGAAAGTTTGGAAATTTGAATGTTTTATTTCATTGAGAATTATTTTGCAGAAAATTTTTCCAGTTTATTGAGTATGTAGGGGTTAATTTTTAAGGCGATTTATTTATTTTTTTTTCTGTTATATTTAGGGAGAGAGAGATTTTATATCTTATGATGTCGTTTGGAAATTTGAAAGTGAATGCTTTATTTCATTGAGAATTATTTTGGAGAAAATTTGGTAAACGAAATTTTTCTGAGTTTACTTACTAGATTGGTGGATATTTTTTAATCCTATCGATCCGTTTGAAGGAAACTTTTACGGTTACGAAATTGAAGTTGGAAAAGAAACGAGTGTTTACTTTGCGAATTGAAAGTTTGTTAATCAGAAAGAAACTCGCGTTACGAGATTTTTTTATCCAGATAATTTTGATATGTATAAAAAGATGAAATTGTAAGAATTTACAAGATTTGCACCGAAAACTTTTACGTAAATGTGGAAGTTTGTTAATTAAGAAAACTTCTATTTAAACTATTTTTTTTTTTTATCGATAATTACAACTTCGCAAGGATACAATTTCAAAAGTTATATTGATCCTCTCCCTCCCCCTTCTCTCTTTCAAATTTACTTTCAAATTATTTTAGATATCCTTGATACGCTTGGTAAAATTTTTCACAGTGTCGTTCAGTTAGTTCACCCTCGTCTATATCCACTCTTTCGAAGGGTGGAATAAAAATTTCTCCTGCCTTTTTTTTTTTTTTCTTTTTTTTACGATTTCTTCGAATCCGAACCCCTGCTCGTTCGATCGCCTCCCAATCTCTGTTCGCGTATGTAAATCTCGATCTGGGACAATTACGCTAAAACGGGGTGGCGTGCCGCCAAGTGGTTAGGTTGGCCACACTGTTGGCGGGCTTATTATACTAACAAATAGCCCATGGAGTTTCACCGCCTAATCATCGCGTATCATGCCACGCGCGCCTACTGCTTTAGAGACGTGTTTAGAGGTGTGCCGGTGCAAATCTTTCCAAAATTCTTACCGAATAATAATATACTACGGTTTGAATATGAACCACGTGATGATTAAACGTCTTTAAAATGGCGAAAAATCTTCGTTTCGTCGAGGAAATGGAAACGATAAAATTACATAACATACGAATAATTAAGTGACAATAATTTTTACATCTTCTTTAGAGAAATTCTTAAAAAAAGATTCGTATGTATCTCGACAAATAATAATAATAGAATCATAAATTTCTTACGAAAAACAGACCTTTCTTGATAAGTAAAATTTGATAAGGGTTTTATACACACACAGATGTAAGTTTCGATGCGGCGCGATGACTCGAGGAAAATTGCGATCATTTGTAAAATAAAAGGGTAGTAGGATTGGTTCGATCCCAATCACCGATAAGAAAATGTTTCCGACTACGGAGGGAGGGGGTGAAAAGCGTGCGATTTCGTGCCATGCTTTTCCACGTCGCAATTATTACTCGGAGGGAACTTCTACCTTCTCCCCTTTCGATGTACGAAGAGTTTGAAAACTCGTCGATTCTCGTACAGAAAAGCGCAATAATAATAATAAGATTGTAGCATCAACCGTCCTTTCTCTTTTTTTCCCGCGAGTGTCTCGAGATTCGTCGATAATTTTTTGTCTTTTTATTATCCTCTCCTTCATCGATATTATTTTTATTCAGATCGAAAAAGCGTAGGGGGAAAGCATGCACGACGATGATGACACACTGGTTCGATTGAACCAATTACGGTTGGATAATTATTAAAGAGCGGAGAGGAAAATTATAGTCTCGCGTCGACGAGCCGACACGTGGTGATTTACCTCTCTCTTCGAGTATTTGATAACGAGTATTTAAACTCGTTATTTGTTATTACTGTAAACGTAATGTTACACTATTGTCTCTCGATTAAATTATTCCGCGGTGTTTTCGGGGTTTTAAACGGCCTACGAAAACGATACATCGAAACGATGTTCGCTATGTGGAAATTATTAGGATAACGAGATTATATAGGATATGGAATTTTATATTTCGGATAAATATGAAAGTGATTTAAACGAATACTTTAGAGGAATCGATTTTATTATCTAAGCACGAAATATATAAAGAAAAGAAAAATCGCTCTTTCCTCGAAAATTATTATTAAAGCCTGTCGTCTAATAACTGTATTACCACCTCCTCGTTAATAATTAACGGCAGTTATACGCGTAATCGATCTCCATTTAATATGGATTCATGCTCCAGTAACGGTCGATCGATCAACCGACACGCGCGAACTTAATTACCTAGGCCCCTGGCTAATTAGAAAAAAAAGAAAAAAAATCTCCATCCACGAAACAAGAAGCGGAATCGGATTGTATATAAAATTTCTGTGGCTAGGCAGCCAACGTCAAACGTCCACGATTATCCACAATGATAAATCAGCCCTGCCTGCACGCCCGTCCACTCAATTAAAAGCCGACGAATTCGCTCGCCGCTCGGAATTCGGGGCGATAATTAACGAGTCCTCCCCTCCCCCTTGTCGAGGGGGACATTCGTTACGTTTTTCCATAAAAACAAACCGGCGACGGTGGATGAAAATTAAATAAAATAAAATAAAAAAAAAAAAAAAAAAAAAAAAAAAAAAAAAAAAAAAAAGAAACGAGATGAAAATAGATAAAAATAAAATAGAGAGAGGAAAAAAGGTGAAACCTTCGAAACGAGGCCGCGGCGAGTTTCGGGCGAGGGAGGAGTGAGGTGGGGGGATGAGAAAGTTCGTTGTCAGGGTAATTAATAATCAGGAGATCCGTGGCTGGCAAGGGACAAAGCGGGGTCTCTAACGGATATGCAACTCGCACGGAAAATTCGACAATTAATATATTTCGTGGGGTTGCTGTACACCTCTCTCTCTCTCTCTCTCTCTCTCTCTCCCTCCCTCTCTCTCCACCATTCCTGTCTCTCGACTTTTATCCAGCACACACGCGGATCGTTTCGAAATGTGGGCCACACATTCTCTCTCTCTCTCTCTCTCTCGATATGCCTCTTTTGTGGGGAGATTGAGGGGAGAGGGGGGGTAGGAGAGCAGTAAAATCGTTCATGAATTTTAAACAGGGCCCCTCTCCTCGAATCGAGGAGCCGCGCGATCATTTCTCATTTTTCCGCTGCCACCGTTGGCGAGAAGGAGATGGAGAGCTATACCGACAAACGAGAGATAGAGAGAGATAGATAGATAGATAGGGATAGAAGGGAGAAGCCGTGTTGTAAACCGAGCAGAGATACCGTCGGGGTGAGAAGGGGAGGGGTGGAGACGACAAGTTGCAATGAAAACCACTCGTGCGATTATATGATGAGTAATGTTTTTTAATACCCCCACCGCGTGCACGCAAGCAAGGGGTGGCCGGTCATTTTCGAGTGCAGCCACTCTAAAACACCCTTAATTGCTGTGCCGGCTCTTTGTATCGGCGGTGAACCGGGGAGAAAGAGAGGGGGGAGAGGGGGTCGGAAGTGGCTGCGGAAAGAGCAAGAGTCATTGATTTATCGTCCTCGAGAGCCGGGTTGCGAATAAAGCGTACGGTAAACGGGGGGAGAGGGAGAGGGAGAGGAGGAGAGGGGTGAAGTGTTAAGAAAAGTGTAACGATCGCTTCCATCCAGGGCTTAATGATCGTCGACGAGGTAAAGGGAACCTCGGTTCACGATCCTCTCGTGACTCTGGGAAACTGGTTTTTCCTTCGATCGGTTGCATATTATATATATATATATATATCTCGTCTCTCGTATATAACGTTTAATAATAAAATTATTCTTTTGGATAATTAATGATAATTAATATATTACGCTCGATATATTTTTTTAACGAGGGAGGAAAATTTCGACGAAACGTACGTACGTGTCTTCGTACGATTTTTTTACGATTACACGGCGATTTATAAGAACAAAGATAATGAATTTATAAGATAAAGATAAAGAACGATATATATGGATAAAGAATTGCGCGAGCGGTTAAAAGGGGGAGGATAAAGGGAGAGAGAGAGAGAGAGAGAGTTAATGCATTTATAATGGTGTTTTGGGACCGGTCGGTGGTTTTGCGGTTACAGTGTCCTCGGCGACACTAATGCAACCAACCTCGGTTTGCGACAATATAATGGCGACAGACGAAGAGAAAGAGAGAGAGAGAGAGAGAGAGCTAATAGAATAGGGCGACATATTTTCAAATTATTATTTGCTCGACTTGCCCCGTTGGAACACATGTTCCTCCTGTGGATAGATATACGTGTCGATTCTCTCTCGTACAAAGGGATGGTATGAAAGGTTCGAATTAACATTCCCTGTCACGCGTTTTTTTAACGTTCGACAAATTTCT